AGAAAAGAAATTTACATCTTATGTCATTAATATTTTGGTCTGAGAGTAAGCAAACCTATATCTCAAGTAATATGTGTTTTTCACATTCCTTCATATAATTTTATATATATATATATGTGTGTGTGTATGTATATACATATACAAATATAAATATCTGAGTTATGTACACACACAAATATGTGAACACCTATATGTACTGATGATGTTATTTGTTTTACAGATTGAGATCCTACACTTTTCTCTTTTCTCATTTAGCAGTATCTGGAAATGACAACTCATACAACTTTAATTCATTCCTTTTGATATCTGTATAATATTTTGTAGGATTCATGAGTAGTAATTCATTCTGCTTTTTTCCTACTGATGAGCTTTCCCAAGAATGGTATAGCAAGGACAAAATATATCTGTAGCTTAAAAATTTTTAACACAGGTTGCCAGCTTGTTTTACAAATAGATTGAAGAAGTTCACATTTATGCCAGCAATCTATAACAATACCTTTTTACTTAGACCCCTCACCAGCCATAGTTGCTGTTGGTCATTTAACATTTTTCCCAGTCTGAAAAGATGTTTCACCTCACCTATGACAAGAGAAACATAGTAAAATTGTACTGAGAATAAACATTTCCACTTATCAGTCCCAAATCCAACAGTTTGAATAACATACTCTAATAACAATGTTGTGTATGGAGAGAAATTTGGCAATATCTCTCAAAATCACACACACACACAAACACACGTTAACTTAGCAATCTCTTTTCTGTGAATTTATCCAGCAGATATCTTGAACATGTGAAACAAAATTATGTACATTATTATTCAATGATAATTTTTAAAAGCCGAAGACTGAAAACAATGCACATGTCCATCTATGTCCATCACAGGGGCTAGTAAAATAAATTCTGGCATTCATGTAGTGGAATACTAAGCAGCCGTTAAAAGACAGGGAATCTCATTACAGACTTACATAAATAGTTCTAAGATATATTGTAATATACACAGGACAGTGTTTATATTGTTACTTTTATTTTTAAAATGGAAAATAATATAAATTTGTATTTTTCTATAAAATCTCTGGGAAGGTATGCAAAAAACTAATAAAAGTAGTAATGGTATAGGTGGTGTTGGCGGAGAAACTGGTGAACAGGAGATCACAGGGGAGACTTCAAAACATCTCTCTCTCTCTACCCGTACACTATTTGAATAATCTATGCAAAAATAAAGAAAAATAGCTCCTATACAGTGAATTCAATTTCCTCTATGTGAGTTTTATGATCCTGTTTCATCGACTGAATAAAATGGGTAAGAGTCACTTTACAGTATTTTCTGAATACTAAATTGGAGGTGTGCTCAGCTCAGTGCCTGTCCCATATTAGGCACTCAGTAAATGTTAGTTGAATCAAAAAAACTGTCAGTCTGTTAGACCTAATTGGCATCTTATTATTTTAATTTGCATTTTCCTGATTTCTCCTGATTCTGAGCTTTTCACATTTTGGATTTATTCTTCTCTGAATTCATATCATTTGCCCATCCATTTTTCTGTTGAATTGCTTGTTCCCTTGATGTGAATTTCTGAGTTCCCTGATGTTAAACCTCCTTGGAAATATTTGTCTAAATTTGTCATGTGTCTACTAATTTCGTTTACATGTATTTTACATACAAAGGTTATTTTTGTTTTGACAAATGTGTATCTTTTTTGATGATAATATATACTCTGCTGTTTTTGCATGAAGTATTCTATAAATGTCAATGAGATCCAGTAGATTAATGATTCTACAGTTCAATTTTTACTGATTTTCTGCCTGCTGGATCAATTACTGAAAGATGTTGAAGTCTCTGTAATACTGGATTTGTCTATTTCTCCTTGTGGTCCTATCAGTTTTTGCCTTACATATTATAACGCTGTTAGGTGCATGTATGTTAAAGATCGTTATATCGTTTTGGAGAATTTACCTTTTTATCCTTATGTAATGCTTCACTCTACCCCTGACAGTTTTCCTTTTTTTGAAATTTGCTTCGTCTAACATTAATATAGCAACATCAGCTTTCTTTTTATTAGAGTTAGCATGGCAGATCTTTCTTTGGTTACTTACTTTTAACCTATCTATGTCTTTATAATTAAAGTGGGTTTCTTACATATGGTTCCAGAGAAAATGAAAAACTAGTAAAGGCTGTTGTTTTCCTCCTTCCAAATCAACCCTGGGTAACAAGAGAAAAAAAGAAGGAAGCAAAAGCTTGAGGAATAAGATAAAACACTAAGAAGAAACCAGAGTTAGTGTTGGGAGTAAGTTATAAAATACTGTCCTGCCTTGCACCACATTGCTTTGGGACAATCAGTGCCAAACTATTGATTGCTACAGAAATCACTAGCAACAGATCAGGCTTCCTGTAGAATAAGATTAAGGGTCTGTTGAAGTGAGTTGCTGATGAAAAAGTGGGGCTGACCAGATATTGTAGAATATCGGGCATTCACCCCTCTACTCCTTCCCTGCTGCCAGAGTTTTGGTAAATTATAACAGCCTTCTGCTACTGGATTGTGGATTTCAACGCAGATCCTTACTAGAGAAACAGTAGCAAAGAGACGGCATCAGTTCTGTGATGCTTAGAGCTCTTGCTTTCTACTCCTTAAACTTGTGGGAGGGATAAAAACTAGGGTCTGCCACTTTGCTCTACCTTTGTATCCATTATTAAAAGGGGTAGTAGATAACACTAGGAGAACATGGCTTGTGAACCAAAATATCTAGATACCTGAGAAGTATGATCACCATCAAACACAACAAATTCTACAACATATACCAATAGAAGAATAGGAGATAAACCAATAATTTTAATAATGCAATTATTCATTCAACACAGTTTGTAAAGATATAGGGTCTCACTCTGTTGCCTAGGCTGGAACAATCATAGTTTACTTCATGCAGCCTTGAATTCTTGGGCTCAGGCAATCCTCCTGCCTCAGCCCCCTTGCTAGCTGGGATTACAGGTGTGTGCCACCACACCCACCTAATTTTTAAAATATTTTTTAGAGACGAAGTTTTGCAACACTTCCCAGGCTGCTTTCAAACTCCTAGCCTCAAGCAGTCATCCTGTCTTGGCCTACCAAAGTGCTATGATTACAACTATGAGCCACTGTGCCTAATCGGAAGGCTGAGGCACCAAGAATTGCTTGAAACTGGAGGCAGAGGCTGCAGTGAGCTGAGATTGTGCCACTGCACTCCAGCCTGGGCACCAGAGCAAGACTGTCTCAAAAAATATATATAACAAAAAATTTTAGAAAGAGCATCATAGAACATCATAGGTAAATAGCAGGTGGATCAGATTTTATGATGCCTTTGAGATACAGAATTTTAATATTTCTGTGCAGTTAAAACCTCTAGAACTTTTCCTTTGCTTTCTAGTGCTTTCATGCTTTGAAAAAAATCTTTTTTTCAATCCAGAGATATTTTAGGTTGATAACTAAAATATTTTAAATTATAATATTCGTATGTGGAAGAAATTCAAACAAAATAGAATAGTAGAAAGTAAAAGGCCTCATCCACTGCCTCTCTTCCTTTCCTCAGAAGTTATTTTTCTAGGTATCCTTCCAGAAATTTTCTATATATAATCAAATATATGTGTATATATAATTTTAAAAATTTATAAATAGGATACTATACATACTTTCTACAATTTGCTTTTTTCATTCACACATATGGCCCTACTCCAGAGATTGAGGTTTTAAATATCAGAAAAAATTTTATTTAGAAGAAAAAACTATGGAGACAAAAGATCATTGGTTACCCAGGGGTATAAGTAGGTAGGGTAAATAGGTGGAGCACAGGGCATTTGTAGGGTAATAAAATGATTATATATGTTACTATAATGGTGGATACCTGACACTATGCAGTTGTCAAAACTGATAAAACTGTACAACACAAAGAGTGACCCCTAATGTTAACTATGGATTTTAGTTAATAGTGTAGCAATATTGGTTCATCAGTTGTGACAAATGTGCCACACTAATGCAGGATGTTAATATGAGAAATGGTGTGTGTTTGGGTTATGGAGGGTGATAGATGAGAATCTGTATTTTCTGCCTATTTTTCTGTAAACTTAAAACTATTCTTTTTAAGTCTTTTAAAAAAAACAAACTTCATTTAGAAAAACTGTTCTTAAAGCTTTGTGTAGGATGTTTTAAAGTTGGAGGCTAGAGGTCACATATCTGGTAGACTGTTGCTATGGCCTAAACATAAAATGATAAAGGGCTATACTATGGCAGCAAATAAAATTATTTCAAATAGGTGTGCTAACACCTCAGAAAATTTCACATTAGATATTATTGAGCAGAATTTAAAGTTTCTAATGTAAAGAAATTATATGTCAAACAGTGTATTAATCAAAAGTAGGAGAAACCAACATGCATAAAAATTGTGAGAACCAAAGAAAATATGGCTGAAAAGATGCTAACTAGCAATAACATGTTGAATACGTTGTTTCTTTTTAAAGTTAACATGACATGGAGGAACTAGGAAATGGAACTACTGTATTTAGTTTTATTTATGTGTTTAAATTGTTTATTTCCAGATTTCTGTAACCTATATATTTTCTTAAAAGATCAGTCATTACCGAGTTATTATTGGGTGCCTTTAATCTTTTTTGTTAGTGTATCCATATTCCAATAAAAGTTTATTTACAAAAATAGGCAGTGGTCTGCTTGATAGGCTCTTCCACTAATAAGATACTTTAATCCTTTGTATTGAGGATTAAAACATATAATGTACATAATAAAACACCATGTATTTGGCATATAGTAAGCACTTGAAAATAGTAGTGGCTATTATTTTATTAAAATACTGTATCATACAGCTTAAAATGCTGATTATAAGATGAATCTGAAATTCAGATTTAAAAGTATTTTTATTATAGTAATAAGGTCATATTTGGGATTTTAAGTTTTGTTCTACCACCAGTGGTAGTTTAAGACTTCTTGTATAATGGTTCTTTGTGATGTTTTTCTTGTCAGAGACACATGTGATGAACTCTTGGGACATGTTTCACTACTTGTGGATCCTAGTATTTCCTTGCTCAATATTCAAAAGAAATAGGTCTGGTATCTCTAGGAGTATCAAATGAAGATGTACAGAAACTATACATGGTGAGTTCATTTTCAACTTTAAAAAACATTCTATTTATATCTATTAATAATGTAGTAAAAGCTTCCAAGTTACTCATTATAAAGTAATGGTTCTGGAAAGAGCATGGTAATTTAAAAAGAAAAACTATTAAGGTATCATTGACATGCAAAGCTATACATATTGTATACAATACAATTCGTTTGGGAATACATTCTAATGATTTATGCTGATAACGCTGATCTCATACCAAAACTCTACACTTTAACTCATCTATTCTCTCCCACATTTTGTTACTGATGTCAAAATTTACATTTTTATATTGTGCATCAATTAACAAATTACTGTAGCTATAGTTATTCTTAATACTTTTAACTCAGAGTTAAAAATGATTTTATGTGCCACCATTACATTACAGTATTAGAGTATTCTGAACATAATTCCATACTTCCCTTTACCAGGAAGTTTTATACTTTAACATTTTCATGTTGCTAATTAGCATCCTTTAATTTCCACTTGAAGTACTTCAACTTTAGTTTCAGTTTTAACATTTCTTGAAGAACATAATAAAATACCATGTATTTGGCATATAGTAAGCACTTGAAAATGGTAGTGGCTATTATTTTATTATAACACTGTATCATAGAGCTTAAAATGCTGATTGTAAGATGAATCTGAAATTCAGATTTAAAAGTATTTTTATTAGAGTAACAAGGTTATATTTGGGATTTTCTATTTTGTTCTACTACCAGTGGTAGTTTAAAGCTTCCACTAAGGCTACCACCAGTGGTACTTTAACCTGAGAGTGACAAATTCCCTCAGCTTTGGTTTTTCTGGAAAATTCTTTCTCTCTCCTTTTGTAAATGACAGCTTTGTGGGTAAATTATTCTTAGTTGGCAAGCTTTTTCTTTTTCTTTCAGTATTTTGACTGTATCATCTCATTTTCTTCTGGCTTGCAAGGTTTGCTGAAAAATCCATTGAAACTCTTATAGGAGCTCCCTTGCACATGATAAGTTGCTTTCCTCTTCTTTCTGTCAAAATTGTCATTAACTTTGTTTGTTTGAGATAGAGTCTTGCTCTGTTGCCAGGCTGGAGTGCAGTGGCTCAATCTCAGCTCACTGCAACCTCCATCTGCTGGGTTCAAGCAATTCTCCTGCTCAGCCTCCTGAGTAGCTAGGACTACAGGCACAGGCCACCATGCCTGGCTAATTTTTTATATTTTTAGTAGAGATGAGGTTTCCCATGCTGGCCAGGCTCTTCTTGAACTCCTGACCTTGTGATCTGCCCACCTCAGCCTCCCAAAGTGCTGAGATTACAGGTATGAGCCACCATGCCCAGCCTGTCAATAACTTTTGATAATTTGATTAAATGTCTCAGTGAAAAAATTTTCATATCAGAAAGGTAATGTGCCACTGTTTTAGCAAGGTCTGAGAAAGGCACATCTCACAGAATGGCATGAAAACCCAATCATCATGCTTATGAACCACAAAAAGATCAGTGAAATACCATATATAACCTTGTTACTATAATCTTGAACATCTTTATGTTCAATCTACGTGGAGTTCTTTGGGAATTGTGGATCTGGATCTTCATTTTCCTCCCCAGATTTGGGCAGTTTTCTGCCATTATTTCTTTATATAAGCTATCTGCCTCCTTTCTCTTTCTCTACTTGCTCCATCACTTCTATAATGCACATATTGGTTTAGAGTCCTGTAGGTTTACTTCATTCTTTTTTTTTTTCCCCCTCTGCATGATTTCAAATGATCTGTCTTCAAGTTCATTGATTCTTCCTTCTGCTTGATTGAATCTGTCACTTAAGCTCACTTTTGAATTTTTCAGTTCAGTTATTGTATTCCTTAGTTCCAGAATTTGACTCTTTTTTAATGGTTTCTTTGTTGAAATTATCATTTGTTCATGTATTGTTTTCCTGATTTCATTTAGCTCGCTGACATTCAAGATGAGTTTCTTCCTTTGGCTGTCATGTTTTCTGGGCGTGTGTGTGTGTGTGTGTGTGTGTGTGTGTGTGTGTGTATTCCTTGAAACCTTGCCTTGCTATCTTTGCATTTGAAGAAAGAGTCACTTCCTCCAGTCTTTACTGACTAGCTTCAAAAGGGAAAGACATTCACCAGTCGGCCTTACTAGAGATTCTGAAGGTCTCTCAGAACTTTTCTATGGCTACTCCACTCCTCTTATTCTATCTTGGGAAGGGAACTCTTAGGATCGTATGCTTTTTTTCAATCGCACCCCTAGACTAGGTGCTGAGAACCTCTTTCTATTTTCTCTAGTGCAGTGTACCAGAGTGTTCAAGGTTGTGTGCCTTCTTCCAATCCAGAAAGAGCCAGTTGCCGACATCCATATGCTATCTGCCATGGCATGCATACACTATCTGCAGGGGAGGGTGGGCTGCTGGCTACTGGGTGGGTGCTTGGAGTGCTGGGTGTACTTGTCAGCTAGTTGAGGGGTTCTGCAGGTGAAGTGTCGTGTAGGGTTCATGGGTGGGCCTTTGGTGGAGTCTGCAAGCCAGTTAGACTCCACATCTAGCTCTGAAAAACCATCTGTTGGTTGCTATGAGCCTCTGCTTCTTTTTCCTTCTCCTAGCAATTCTTAAGACTATTCATCTGTGAAGAGTCCCTCAGTATTCTGGATAGGGAAGAACAGAAGTGAGCCTTTTGGGCAGCACCATGCAAGGCTAGGGAAACTGGGCACTCACTTGACTCTTACTTTCCTTCCTGGGAGAACTCATGGGCCTAAGGGGCCTCTCTTGGCACTGAACTCTGCCGCCTTGGAGGAGAAGGATGTAGGCAAAGTGAAACTTTTTCTTACCCTCTTCAGTGTGCCTATTCTTGAGGGTTTTTTTCTACTGGGGTGCTGGAACCTCTTAGCAGGTTTCCCAGGCTCCCATAAAGATATTTGGTGTAACAGGGGTTTGAGGGCTGGGACCTACTAATCCACCAACTTGCTGACGTTAGTCAGAGTGCCTTTAATCTCCATAGTATTACTTCACACAAAATGCCATGTCTGAATTTACTAGATCAGAGTCAAAATACAAACAAAACAATTAAATGTATAAAGTAACTTTTTTTTTTTAAACAGAGTCTCACACTGTCGCCTGGGCTGGAGTGCAATGGCGTGATCTCAGTTCACTGCAACCTCTGCCTCCCAGGTTCAAATGATTCTCCTGCCTCAGCCTCCTAAGTAGATGGGATTATAGACACCTACCACCATACTTAGCTAATTTTTTGTATTTTTAGTAGACACAGGGTTTTACTATGTTGGCCAGGCTAGCTTCAAACTCCTGAACTTGTGATTTACCCATCTCGGCCCCCAAAGTGCTGGGATTACACGCATGAGCCACCATGCCCAGCTAAGGTAACACTATTAAGTCTCACATTTATTCTATGCACAACTGCAATATTGCAAAGCATTGTACAGGTTACTGTTTAATGCCTAGTTCATCAGGGCTTGGAGTAGCTAGTTCCATAAACTTCTGAGGTAAATAAGAATTTTCCTTGTTATTTTATTATTATTTAATGACTATATATGCGGATTTCAGTAACTATAAAATTTCTAAGGCAAAAAAGATGGCTTCCAAAATAGAAAAAGAAACTTCAAAGATCTACAGAATTAAGCTTTTAAGTATGTACACATGCATATACAATTATGTATATTATATATATTTGCTTTGTAACCATAATCTTTTTCTAGTCAATGACTACAAGTGGTATGTCAGTATACACTAACAGAATTATAGAAGAGAAAACGTTTCTTCAGAATTCACTCTATTCTATCATTTGTTTGCTTGTTGATTTATTTATTATGTATTTACTGACAGGCTGGAATGCAAAGGCATGACCATAGTTCACTGTAACCTTGAATTCCTGGCCTCAGGTGATCCTCCCACCTTGGCTATATACATATAGCCAAGTTTTGCTTGGTTTTAGTACCACAAAGTATTATGGAAGGTGATTTTTAAAATAGTTTTGCCATGTTACTGAGTTACAGATCCCAGTTGTTTCTCTAGTTTTCCATTTATTTCTGGTTTGCAATACTTCCTCTTAAAACTGTGGGTAAGGCAAGGCAGTTCCAAATGTAGTTCCTCATAAACAAAAGGGAAGTAAGAACACCAAACACCAAAATCAAAATGTTCTACTAAAAAAAGTTTGCTTGTCCCTTTAAAATGTATAAAAAGACAGATTTAATAATTCTTTTTAAAAAAATTGTTTAGTTTCTTATATGATAATCATTAATTTAACCCCAACCTATAGTCCACTGTAAGTATCCTCTCAATTTGTTAAAGCATTATTAGTTGTTCCATTAATTTCATCTACTTTTCCAATTCATCAATCTGCGATTCCTTTTACCTTTCTCTTTTTTTGGGTTTCTTACTTCCTTGATCAAATATCCTACTTTTTCTTAGTTTATTCTGCATTTGGGTTGAACACATTCTCTATTAGCTTTTTGAGAAGAGGATGCATAGACTGTATAGTTTTTAAACGTTTAGGTTTGAAATTGACTTTATTATAGTTTCACAACTGGGTCTTAGTTTGGATTGGTATAGAATTCTAAATTACAGGTAATTTGTCTTCAGATATTTTAAGAATTGCCCTTTAACTTCCAGAGCTACTGTTAAGAAGTTCAGTACACTTAACTTTTGTAGTATGTGTTTCAGTCTGTTTGGGTTGCTATAAAGGAATACCTGAGGTTGGATAATTTATTTAAAAAAGAGGTTAATTTGTTCTCATGGTTCTGCAGGCTGTACAAGAAGCATGATGCCAGTATCTGCTTTTTGTGAATCTTCAGACTGAGGGCAAGGCAAGAGAAGCCCGTTAAGTACACAGTTCACATGGCAAGAGAGAAAGAGTGAGGGATGTGGGGGTGTCCAGGCTATTTTTTTTTTTTTTTTTTTTTTTTTTGATACAGAGTCTTGCTTTGTTGCCCATGCTGGAGTGCAGTGGCATGATCTGAGCTCACTGCAAACTCCATCTCCCAGGTCCAAGAGATTCTCCTGCCTCAGCCTCTCAAG